TGTCAGGATTTTGTGTATCAGGATTTTGTTGCCGGGATTTTGTGTGTCAGGATTTTGTGTGTCGGGATTCTGATATACAACCATTTTAAACACTGCACATAACTAATATTTACGCACCTATATTTGATTTTTTAGATTCTAATTTTATATTAATTGAATAGAAATAATACTGTGCAGAAAAGTTTAATTTAAATGCTCAACATGCATAAAGCATTGTGGTAAATCGATTCTATTGAATATAAAATCTCAATAAGTAAGTTAGGCTTTATGTTTTCAGCAATCTGGCTGAATAGAATATAAAAATTTATAGTAATTACATAATGGCATATGAATTTTCTAGCATTATTGCTCCCAAAACTTTGTCTAAACCTAAAAAAAAAAACCAATTTTTAAAAGAAGTCAATAGTTATTACAATGTATAGTTTATACAGTTATGTTTTAAATTAATTTTTTTTAGATCTAAAAATTATATAAAATATAAACCAATAAACTTAAAGATCTTAGCTAATAATTCTATTCTGACCTTCTCTTTTTTTTCTTTTGATATAAATACTAGATGGCTGAATATTGATTAGCCGTTGCACCTTATATATTAACAGCAATATTATTGTCTATAATATATGTTATAACCTTCAAGTCATGATCATTTCTATTCCTTCATACATGACTTCTCAACCTTAATACAATATTTTTTTAAAGCATTAGTTTATAAAATCTAATTGTTGCAGTGCTATGTATTTATGTGACTCATAATCGGGTATATATTGATCAAATATCATGATTAAGATTTGTATGAATGGCGTAATCATGATTTAATTAAAAGTCTAAAATAGTGATTACATGAACAATGTAGTAATCAGTTGTGATTAGTAATAATAGTGATTGCATGAACAATGTAGTAATCATTAGCAATAGTAATAAATATAAGACATCGATCCAAATAGAGAAGTGCCTAGCTTTGATTCTTATTGGTTCTCGCGATCTCTTTGAGTTATTCTTAGTGAATACACTGTGTTATCTCTGTAATTATATTATTAGTAGTAGTATCTGGTATGATACTCTAGTCATCATATATACATATTAGCCAAGCAAGTAAAGATTGATAGTAAAAACTACAAATACACAGGAGATAAAAAAAGTCTGTGACACTAATAATGCAAGATGGATAATAGCAAAATCAAAAGATAGAGTTTTGCTAATTCAAATCGAATGCTTATAAATCTATTAATTATGACATTTCATTATTTACTTGCAATACAATTTTTCTTTTATTTATTTATTTATTTAAAATTTCTTATAATATTTATTATACAAAAACTGAATTATATCATATATTAATTGTTCTTTAACTATTATATATATACATTTTCTTGTATATGTGTCCATGTGTCTTATTTATGTGATCAGAATCACTGATTTCACAATAATGTTGGCTCGTCACTTCTTTGATGAGAATTCTATATTTATAAAATATTTTTTTTTAATTTTAAGGTTATGGGCAAAGAATATCTTTATAAAAGTTATCAACGTGTTAATGAATTTTCATATATAAATATTTTTTTCGGTCATTTGATAATAGTACAGAAGAGATAGTATTTAATTGACCATTGTTATTATTATGCAATAATTAAAAACAAATTTCTTCTCTACCTGATTTTTTTGAAGCAAAAACTTTATCAAGTTCTAAGCTATTAAATCAAAAATGATAATATTGTTTTATATTTGGTAAAGATTTGAAATTATTTTTAAAAAGAGAACTAAAGTCATACCAAACCCATCCTGTACTATTTTTATATTAAATCATGTTATTTCCTTTTGATGAATTATTTACTATATTTTCTATATTATTTTTTTTTAACTAATTCGGCAGTCATGCCTTAACTTTATTAGGCTTGTAATAATCTTCTAGACTATTAAAATTTTAGAGAGACTTATTAGTAAGTGATAAACTCTAAACTTGTTGGCAGATAGCGTATAAGAACTATCTCTAAACGACAAGTGCCGTACCCGAAGGCCACCAACTATACCTAAATTACGAGTTAAAACTAACCTAGTTGCCTACTGGGTATCTATGTTCGACCTGCTATAGCAGGAGTTTCCCTCCTTGGTATCTACTTCTAAACTTGAAATCAAATACCATATCAAAAGGACGCTTCCTGCCACGCGTCATGACCACCTATCCTTTCTTTAAACTTTTTCTATCTAAGTCTGGGCAGAATACATGATCTCTTATTTATACATAAGAAAAAAGATAAATACTATATTTTACAAAAGAAAAAAACAAGTTTAGGAGAAGACACAAAACAAGAAAAAAAAAAAACTAAATTTCTAAAAAAGATTCCATCATAAATGAAAGAAGATAAAAAAAGCAAAAAAAGGAATAGTGTGGTTATGACAAACAACACACCAACAAAAGCACTATTATAACCTGTGCAAGGCTAAAAAATTATATAATAATTGCAACTAATTAATATATCTTAATTGTAAGATGTCGCCTTATCATTAGGAACTCCTTCTAGGCACTGACTTTACTCGAGTATCTTCTAAACAGAGGGACCGGTCTCTTCCCCGTACTATAGCACCATATTGATAAACAAAAAAAACACGTGGTTGCATTTTACTAAGTTCGTCCGAATTAGGAAGGTATAAACAATGCCGATCTTTTGGAGGGGGTAAGCCAAATTGCCCACTTTTTGTCGAAAATTTTGGTAAGAGTAGCAAAGATGAAAAATAGATGAAAGACTACTTGAAAGCACTTAAAGGAGTGTGAGTTTTCTTTTACTTAGATTCAACCCTTCGCCCACGACATGCGTAGTACTCAATTTTTTCAGTAAGTGATAAACTCTGAGCTTGTCGGCAGGTAGCGCATAAGAACTACCTCTAAACGACAAGTGCTATGATGCAGTGAGTGATAAACTCTAAACCTGTCACCAAGGAAGTGTATGAGAGCTACCTCTAAATGACAGGTGCTGTCTTATGTTCATTTTTCTACGTCTTATAATTTAGACCTCACACTATGAGGTTGCCTTGACATTCGGTGTTTTTTCTTAGTAATTGTTTTTTTTCGGAAAATATGGTTCAAGTGATTATTAGAAAGAGTTGATTAGCTTTGTTTTTGTATATTTTTTATATTATCAATAGTATTAACACGATTATCTCTATAAACTTTTTTAATATGTTCAAAAAATGAATCACAGATAAACTTTATATGCCCGAGGAGCATAAAATTAACGATAATTTCTTCATACCAATCTAATGAATATAACCAAGACCAAAACTGAAGTAATAAGTTGTTCTTATTTTGATTGTTACAGTTGTCACAAGTTACTCTTAATTTTTTTGTTTTTTTAGTTCTAAAAAAATAATACACCATATTTAACATAGTGTTAGCTTCTTTCACAACCCCTTTGAGAAGTTCATTTTTGCCAATTAAAAAATTTAATTGCTAATTTTGTTCACCTGTTTTACAGACGCCAAAAATATTTACAGAAAAAGAAGATTTAAAATAAATTAGACCAACTTGTTGTGGCGAATATGGTAAATAAATATTTTGTGCCTAATCATAACAAATATATATAATATCTGGGTTATTTTTACTCTCTTTAATATTGTTATTGTAATGTTGTCTTTCATATTCTGCAGCCTCTGTATGTTCGTTATATTCGGCTTGAACTTTATTATATTCATCAATATCCTGTTTAGCAACTAATAATTTAGCTTTAAAAGAAGTACAAACCTCACAAAGATCATTTGCACGTGGCTGAAATTGAATATTAGAAGCTATCTCATACTATAATTTTCTAAATATAAAATATAAGATTATTTTTTCAGATTTATTATGAGTAAGATAAAAGTTTTTTTTATATTCATTATAAACTGAAACATAGATTTGACCAGTTAGAAGATAAATAAAAATGCTAGAATTATCTTGATGCCGTAATAGAGAAGAAAATCTGTGAATTGTTCTATATTGCACTAAAAATTGTTTAATTAGAAATATTATAGCAAGATCTAAAAAAACTCTTGAATCTGTTTTAGATGCACGTCCAGTATTTCTATAAACACGTTCAGTTAATCCATTTAATTGTAAATAATTTTGTAGTGTACAAAGTAAATAATTATTAATTCTACATAACTTTAAATATGTAGGTTTACAAAAAAGTAAAGAAATATTATAATTATATTTGTATGTATGCTTTTATGTTTTATTCTTTAATTTTTCATTACTAATTTTGAATGATATTAATTGTGATTTTATAAAAAGTTCAAGCTTATGTTTCCCTAAAGCTTTTAACTCAAAATGTCTTTCAAAAAAACATTTAAATCTTACTTTTTCAAAACAGGTTCTAAGATCTTTTTGTTTTGGTATTTGATAGCAAGTACAATTATTAGGATTTTGAAAAAACAATTTTAACTCATAAATCGTGTCTAAAACTAGTTCATTTTCTTTATAATTTTCTAATTTTAATTCAACTAAGTTATAGACGGGCTTAAAATCATTAACAGTTGATGGTAGAGACATTTTTTAAAAAAATAATAGGTATGTGCAATAAATCTTTATAAATACAAGAAAATTGAATTAAATACTATAAATCTTTTTTAAAATACAAAATTATGAACAATATTGGTACAATATGAGTTTATTACGCAAAAATTAGTACATATATTAGAAATGGGTAAATGCAAATTTTTTTGGCTTCGTATTACATAATGCAACATAATGTAGTATGCATGCATTATACAATCTTGTATTCTACAAGTTCTTATTTGAAATGTGCAAATGCTATCACTAATTAAACAAGATATATTAACACTTGTTTAGTAAGCTTTACAGCTTCTATAGTCAGTAAAAAAGACCTCATATGTATTTGATTGTTAGGCACTACAGTTATAATTACAATACAAGAACCTTATGATTTTAGTAATTAGTCTTTATAGAAATACTAATATGTAGTATCTATGTTGCTACATAATGCTATACTGATTCCATAATAACTATATTGATAATTCTTTGGCATCTATCATTCATCATATTACATAACTTCGTGGACATGCATGTCCATGAAATCATGTGATGAATATGGTATTCAAATTATACTATTCAAACTTACATAATATATATTTCTAACATACATACATATAATATTACAAGTTACCCAGGCGGACTACTTAAATTAGATATCCAAAAGGTGTACGTGTGGCTAGTTGTATCCTCGTGAATCTGATGTAATATCGTAACTATCCGAAATAAAGCTCATGCCAATGGCCTAAGTGGTCACCTTTAATATTAAAAAAAAAATAATAATAATATTACAAGTTTATACTAGTTAAAAGTTTACCTGCAACCCAGATATATATTAGCTATAAAATAGCAGAATTTTGTTAAAAATCAGATTACAAATATAGAGATCACTGATGAAATTATGTCTTGCTTAAACAATATATAAGTTCCTCTATGTATTATTCTATGCTTAGTGCTGTAGTTAAATTAGATATACAATAAAACTAATTTAGTCTGTTCTTAAACTTCACTTATTAATAGATTACAAAATAAGATCAATCTGGCTAGCTGAAAAACCTGACCGTATTTTGTATTTGTTTTTAAATTGCAATTTTTTCCACAGAGTTATTCCAATAAGCTAAATTTTATATTAGCATTTTACTAAATAAAATTACTATAGTCAACTCTCAAAACTGATCTTGTCAAAATTAATAACCTGTCAAATCTAATAAAAAATTAATCTACCAAGTCTATTCCTGTTATATAAATCTGATAGTTGTTATGTTCTTAAATCTGATCTCAAAATTAATACAAAACCTGTCTACAAAGTATACCAATTTTGAGAAGGTCAACTATATAAAGATTATATTAATGAGTTGTTTAAGAATGTCTTCAGAACCTACTTATAAATTAATATGAACATATTATTTAATACTATATATACAATATAAAACACAAAACTATATATCATAAGCTGCTGACTCATATACTCTATAATTTGTATCTAGGGATATTTGAGAGTAAAAATTTCTTTTATGCACTGGTTATATGCGAAGTATATTTCAGAAAGTGGCACTTCTATGTTTTGAAAACAACTATGGATAAAAACTTAGAAATTAGTAAGCAAAATGAAAAAAAAATACAAAAAAAATGCTCTGGGTAAATCTCTATATAAGAGTCCTTAGCAGGATTATAAAAGTAGTAACACATGATATCAGAATTTCTTCTCATTGGATAATTATTAAATTTGTGTAATGTATTGTTGTAGGGTCATTTTCAAGGCAAATTTTTGGTAATACAAAAATGAATGTAATAGTTAAATATTTATCTGCTATATTAATCAGTTTATAATCTATTTTTAGATCATCAGATGATTTTCCTGCCAAATTTGGTCAAAAGATCTGGACTTCGATAATGCATCTTTATAATAAGATAACAGATTATAAAATTTGTACAAAATAAGCTTAGTATATTGTAGATTAATATTTAACAAAAATCTTATTTTTGGTTAGAGGACCCCGAAACCCTATTTTCAAGGCAAAGACCTTATATAAACTTATAAATATTATTATAATATTACCTATATATTTTTTTTATAACTATAAATTATAGTTAAATAATATATATATATTTTTTTTAGTATTAAAGTAACCTCTATAGCAAGGAGATTTTTATTAAATAATTAACAATGTTTATAATTATGATAAGAGTATAACTAGCTATATATACAACTTTTGGTTATCTATTTTAAGTGGTTTGTCTGAGTTCTACACTAGCTACTATACTTGCAATCTAACTAGAAGATTATCTATTTAAATTTTCTGGCTTTTTTTATAAATGAGAGTATGACTAGCCATACTTGCAACTTTTGGTTATCTATTTGAGTAGTCTGCTCTAGGTTCTATACTAGTTGCTATACCTGCAACCCAACTAAAGAATTATCTATTTAAACTCTTTGGTTATAACCAGCTTGTTATTTTTTATCTAACCAAGATATAACTCACTATTTATATGCTAGATTTTGTGCTATCTGTAGATTTCACACTCTACCTAGAACTACTTTATCCTTGAGGTAAACCTAACAGAGTAGTACATATCTCACACATATATTTACTTGCATGTTTAGTAACTTCTTTCTAATCTACTACTTGTTGTATTGCTGCCACCAAGTTCATATCTCAAGCTATCTTTTAGAATACTAATCTATATCTCAAACTACAACTTTTTTATTTTAGTAGTTGTTATATACTCCTTGCTCTTGTATTTAGGTTTATATAATCCTAGCACCTATATTCAAACTTTCTTCTTCCTTGGATTTTTTATCAGTCTCTTCTTTACTTCTAGCTAGCAACCTAGAAAGGTTGGTCTACCTAGACCTTAGGTATTTACATAGTCTTCTATTTCTTGGTACATACTTCTAAAGCATATATTCTTTTTCTTTAGTTTGGCAACTTAATAGTTTAGCTAATATGTCTTCTCACTTAAAAACCTAGTTGCTTGGTTCTCTAATCTTGGTCTTGGTTTCAAATTCAGTCCTCCTGTAGTACTATTAAATATCATGCTACTTTCTAACTTAGGCCTTGCCAAATGAGTCTTTAGTTATTCTGATATCTCAGATTTATTACATCCGAGCTTATATTTTAAATAGTGTGACCAAGATTACAGATTTCTAGATTCTACCAATTATCAAATAGTTATTAACTATATTACAAAGCTATTTTTTAAAAATATTGTCTGTGAGATTCAAACTCTAGATCTGCTATCTAGAGGTGTGACAACTCTACTACTTCACTAAGTTACTATACCCATAGTTAAATAATATAAATATAGTAATTTCTATAAATATCTATAAAAAAAATATAATATATTAAGATTTATATTTTTTCAATTTCTAAATTAAATACATATAAAAGAAATAAATTAATTTTTTTGTTTTTTTTTGTTTTTAGAACTTTGAATTGTATTCTAAATATTTCAGGAAGTATTGATATTTGGAACTTGTAAATATAGTTATAATTAACTAACTAAAGTGACTTCAATTTAGTTACAGCTATCAAAAACTCAAAACACAAGTTATTAGAATTACTAATACTTATAAGAAAAAAATTATTTTTGGTATAGTGATTTAGTGAAGTAGTAGAGTTGTCACACCCCAAACAGCAGGTCTAAAGCTCGAATCCCATGGATGATATTTTTTGAAAAATAGCTCTATAATACAGTTAATAGCTATCATCAATCAGTTGGATTTATAATCTGTAATCTCGATTACACTATCTAGAATGGGAGCATTAGCACAATAAATCTGAGAAACTGGAATAACTGAAAACCTATTTGGCAAGTTCTGAGTTGGAAGGTAGCATAATCTTCAACGGTACTACAGGAAGACTAAATTTGGAACCAAAGACCAAGATTGGAGAACCAAGTAATCAGGTTCTTAAGTAGGAGGACATACTAGCTAAATCACCATATCACCAAACTGAAGAAAAAAGGATATATGCTCTGAAAGCATGTACTAAGAGGAGAGAGACTGTAAGGCACTTAAAGTCTGAACAGACTAACTTTTCTGGATTGCTAGCTGGAAGTAAAGAAGAAATCGGTAAAGAATTTGAAAAAGAAGAAAAGTTCAAATGTGGATACTAGGTTGTATGAACTTTACAAGGGCAAGGAGTACATAATGGATAACTAATTAGAAAGATTGTAACTTGAGTAGCTGTAGAATAATAGCATCTTAAAAGATAGTAATTTATGAAATACAAACACAGTATAGCAGCATAGCATATACTAGTTAGGAAGAAGTTATTAAACATGCTAATGAAAATATATAAAAAATATGGACCACTCTGTTAGGATTACTTTGTAGATAGATTAGCCAAAAATGGTTAGTAAGTTCTAAAGCAGGTGCAAAATCTAATTGGGTAAATGCAAAATCCACATTTGTATAGTAAGTACTACCCAGAGTTAGATATATTAAATGATAATTGTAATCAGAGAGTTTAAATAAGTACTTTCATAGTTGGGGTGCAGGTATGGCAGATAGTATAGAACCTTCAGGCGGACTACTTAAATTAGATACCAAAAGTGTATATGTAGCTTGATGTACTCTTGTAATTATAAAAATATATATTGTATTTAATAAAAAATTTCCAGGCCGTAGAGGTTACCTTAATACCAAAAAAAATAAAAAATAAAAAAAAATAATTTTTATACTTGTCTAGTATTAGATTTTTATTAACAAGTTTACTAAAATACACCTATGGTGTTTAACACCATAAGTTCCTATTTCTTAAAAACGTACTAAGTAAACGGAATCAGATATTCTAAGTAAAAATATTTAGAACCCCTAAAAACCTCATAAGAACAAAAATTGGAATTTTATATCTAATATATAGTTGTGATTATGTGACAACAAGCCATTAATATTTTAAATCTGATAACTTCTCAAACCTGATACAAAAGCTATCTACTATGCATATCAGATTTGAGAAAATATACTATATTTAAATTTAAAATATTGTTATAGA